TTTTTTTCCTGACTTGCTCTTTTTCTGGACTATTAAATGTATTTTATTCAGAGGCCTTGCTGTTGCCATTTTTGGAGTTTGGCCATTGTATTTCAGGAGGGTAATTAATTCCTTATTTCGGTATATCTGAAGAATTCGCACAGGAGGTCAAATTAATTAAAGAAGAATAGCTCTTTGCTGATCTTAAGTATGCTTATTGCAACAGCAGGCAGATGCAGTCTGAAGTGGATCTTAGTGCTGAATCTCAGGTTGTTTCACACTGACTGTGGGATTCCAGGAGAATACCAACTCTGAGTACAGGCACCGGGAAACGTGGTGGTTCTCTGGGGAAATTCAGGTTAATTTTTACCAGACTCCTAACAGATGCTGATCAAATACGTTGGACCAAAACTGGAGCATCTAAAGTTAGACTAAGTACTGATTTAGGAGTCTTACTAAATGAAGAAATCTTGATGTATGTTACAGTCTATCTTCAGCTCCCACTTAACTTAGTGGGATTTTCATTTGATCAGCAGTCGAAAAGGTCAGACATCTTTTAAATAGAAACTGTCTCAGTTTCAAAGATCAGGAATCTGTAGTTTAGGCGTCTTGCAATGTGTGGATGTTATCTAAAATTGATAGAGGAATGGACAGAGAATGGTAAAACCAGTTGGTCTGCCTGAATTTAGACTGGGTTTCTAACCAGATGTGGTAGGGGGCAAGGAGAAGGAGAAACCCCATTTTGCTGCTTGGTTGTATCCCAGATTATTTTTTTTTAAAAAAATATTTCTTTTGTTACTTTTTGTTTCCTTAGATGTTATTACTAGAATGTATAGCGTGGTTATAGCGCAAGGAAGCAAATTTCAAATATATAAATGATACCTAATACAAAAATGCATATTTTTTTTTAGAAAATCCCATGTCATCATCTTGTCAGCAGAACTCTGTTAGCACATCTGTATAACATCCTGCAAATTCTGTTGACTTCAGAGGTCAGTTTTTACATTGTCAATAGGTTGCAACATTTAAGAATTAACTTTAGCTCTGCTGCTCCTGAGTGAGCAGCAGTTGTATTGTGGCATGTATGTATATTGTATACAAACATGCTAACTTGTAATGCTTTAGATGGACTTGGGAGTTTACCAGGCCTTTATACATTTTACTTAGTTGAAGCCTCAGGAGTATTCTCACATGTGTGAGACTATATTATATGATATGCATATATATTGATATGCAATATAATTAAAATTAACTTCTTGTTCAATTTTAGATAACTGTAGAATTATGTGTAGATTGACAAGATATGCCAATTTGGATCTGATAATCAGCTTTTCAAATATTTTTTCCTTTAGCTTTGTGAAATACTTTAAATTCACACTAAATTGGGAGCCCTGTAGCGATACAGCAAACAAATTGGTTGACTATAATATATGTTATTAAAGACGGGCTATTTTTGGCAACTAATAAACAAGCTGGAGGAGTTGAACAACAGAAGCCTCGTGACAAAAAGCAGCACAACAGCAAAGACGAATGCGGTATCTGGCACCCGGGACAGGGTGGCTGCCCGTCGGCACAGGCAGGAGGCTGTCTGGGTCATGGCTCCGTGGGAAAAGTGCCAGGGAGTGCTGATGAGCCGCCAGCTGAGCTGACAGTAACCCATCCTCACCATAACAGCAGCAAACTGCAGACTGAGCTGCGTTAGCAAGCGCGTAGCCACCATGAAAAGGGACCCATCTACTCACTTGTGTGACTGCATTGGGGTGGTGTTTAGCATGGAGAAGAGAAGGCTGAGGAGGAGTCTGCAAGCAACCGAAAGAGAGGGCCAGGCTCTTTTCAGACGTGCACAGCAAAGGGGGAAGAGGCAATGCCACAGATAGCATCAGTGAATTTCATACAAGAAAATTCTTCACTTGAGAGTGGGTTTTGAGCCCGGGAATTGGTTTCTGGGAGGTTGTGGAGTCTCCATCCTTGAAGACTGGAAATTTTCTTTGGCAAGGCCCTGAGTAACCTGATTGCACTTAAAAATTAGCTCTGTGTTAAACAAATGTTTGGACTAGATGACTTCCAGGGATACCTTCCAACCTTTTTCTTTTTTCTTCTTTTATTTTTCTTCCTGTCATTCAAACTGAAAGCAAGATTTAAGTTTTCTTCTAGAACATTACTCCTTTCTTAATGAGAATATGTGAACTGAATGGATTTCATTCTAGATTTCATAAAGATTCCCTTCAGAATTGCCTTAAATCCTTAATTTAATGAATTGCTTGAATGTTTAGCTTACTCTTCTTCATGCTTTACATGCTGTACAAACAATATTAATTTTTGTTTGTTTTTTTAAAAAGAATGTTAGAAGTCAACCTGATTTGACCCAGAGGACCTTGACTGACTTAAATGTTTGTGTAGCTGTTGATGCCTGTCTGCTAATATGGCTGTCCTGATGCAGGTCTCTTTTGCAGTTAGGCCAACTCGGTGACATAATCTTTCTTTTAGCTAGAAATACTTGCCATGAGCCAGCTTTGCTGTTGTAATACTCTGTCCATTTAATGCCATGGGATAATTTTATGTTTTGACTTGGTGCTGTTGGCTGTGTAAGGTCTGTGGGCGCTAGTCATCAGCTGAAGCCAGTGTCTCACCAGAGTAGTTAATCTTCATGAAAATGAGATTTTATTGGAGCTGTTCTTTTCTGCTGCATGTACTGTTGTTCCTTTTGTATAAAAGGAATTTATTTTGTAGGAATAGAAAAATAAAGTCTCCTGGTGCACTTTTAGTTCCCATTATGTTTTATTATGGGATCTTCTGCTATGACACTGAGTACCAGTATAATACTGGAGAACTTTTGTCTGCATAAAAAATAGAGAGCTTTTCATGCAGAACTTAATAGTATAGAACCCAAAGCCAGCAGCAGCTTCCAGATTTCCATGCTCATTGTTTATTCTCTTAAGATAAATCATTTGACTTTGAGTTTGCATTAGTGACAGATTAAGCTGCCAGTGTAAACATTGTAGGACTGAATATTTTGAAAGATGTGTGTAATTTAGTGAAGGAACTAAGCCTGCAAGTATCCGGAAGCAATGTAATGTTGCATGTGTTCAGATAATATTTTGCAATGTTCATGAGAAAAGGAAGTAAGTATTTAGAAAAGTATTGGTGAAATAGTAACAGTTTATGATTCTTAATTTTTGTTTACTGAAGATAATTCTTGGCACATGGAGCTTTTACTGGAATTTGCATGAAAAGTTGATCCTGGAAGTAAGAGAGATATACTTGTCTTACTGTACAGCCAAAAATGCCATTATTTATAATTGGGTAACATTTCAATTTACTTTTGACAGTACAATTGGGCTCAAGCAAAAATGTTTTGCTTTTAAGTCTCTGAGTTTGGGGTCTATTTGTGAAATGCTAGACATGTTCAATTTTTGAAAGAAATAGTAAGTAGTTCTCAATTTCCTGCAACTTATGTCCATTTATTAAAAATGGAAACCATAAAATTTAGTATTTTAAATTGTGATGTTCACCACCATTCTTTAAAATGCTTTTTCTTAGTCCTCACTGTCAAATTATCATTCTCTTTGTTAACACTGTGGGGATGATGACACAAACTCTGAACATCAGTCCATGCTGGGGAATGCTAAACCTTCATAAAAAGGGAGGGACCAACCACTGTTTACTCAACCTGGGTTAGGTGAACTTGCGCATAAAACCCAGAGAAGTAAATTCTGAGTAAAATGTAGTATTTGTGGCAGCAGTACTGAATACTGGTTATTCTCTTAACTTTTAAGATGTTGTTTTTTTTTTTTCCCTCCTCCAGATGTAGACCCCATAGACTTTTGGGTCAGTTCAGTTCTCCTATAACTTCAGTTAGCAACATATTATGCACAGAAAACTTGAGGAAAGCAAATTGAAAAAAACCAACCAAACAAAACCACAACAAAGTATTCTTTTCCTGACATAAATACCCTTTGTGGCATTCAAAATTTATCCAGGTTGACATAGATCTTGGTCTTGCTGCAGAGCTAAGTAGAAAACTCTGTTCCCAGATGCTTAGATGTTAGGTTTGTAAGATCTTTTGTTTCTTCTTGTCTGTAAAGGTCTAACAGGTCCTTGGTTAACACTGACATGCTTATGTAGCATGAAACACATTCCTTAGTGGATTCAGACTTTTGGAGATGCTCTGAACTAATTTATATTGCTGAAAAAATAATTCTGATACTTGGACACAGATCAAAACTTTCTTGTTAGAGACAAAGTTGATGGAAATGAACTTTAAACAAAAATATATACTGATTATGTATTTGTATTATAGAGTTTAGCAATAATCTTTAATTAGCTACAATTTATAAAAACTTAGTGGGCAAATTTAACGTTTTGTGTAAGAAACTTGGTCAGTGTATAATCAGGTTTTACATAAATTTGGTGGAAAACCACATTAATCTCATACAGATGTTAAAAAATTCTTTCAAATTATAGATTTTTCATATTTATGGATAACTTTGTAACAAGGTAAACTTAGTCGTGTTAGAACTGCAATCAAGTATTTTGTACTATCTGGTATGAAAAGTGAACAATGAGTTGAGTTGTCCGAAATGGTAAAAAGCAGATTTTTGCTTTCTCTGCATTAGATGTGTTTAACTGTCATTCCAACAGAAGGATAAATTTAGCTGTACCCCAGTAGTTCGGTATTGCAGCTGACAACAGTTGTTAAAGATTGCAGTCTTCTATAAAGTAGTTTTGAATTACACTATTTAGTGCAAGTGCTTTGAAACTGTGACTTACTATTTCTTGTATCCACTTACCTATTTAATTTATTAGAAGCTTAGTTGTTGGTTCAGAAGATTTAACATAGTAACTTGAAACCCATTTTTTCTTCATGTCCTACTGAAAAATTTGACTTAGACCATTTTGTTCACACTCCTGGGAAATCTGAATTAGCTTAGGTGTTTTATTTCACGTTCATTCTGAATTTAGATTTCTGGGTTTTTTTCTGAGACTACTACATCATTAAAAATGCTGCTCTTCCTTCACAGGCCTATGAAGAGTACACCAGCAAACTAGATGCTCTACAGCAGAGAGAACAGCAGTTACTGGAATCCATGGGAAATGGCACGGATTTCTCCGTTTCCAGTTCAGCTTCAACAGACACAGTTGCATCATCTTCCTCCTCTAGCCTCTCTGTAGCACCTTCATCCCTTTCAGTTTATCAAAACCCTGCTGATATGTCACGGAATAACCCTAAGTCTCCACAGAAGCCTATTGTTAGAGTCTTCCTGCCCAATAAGCAAAGGACTGTGGTGAGTCAGTTTCTAATCACATACTTGTAACCTCAATGTTTCCTGTATATCTCTCTCTATATATGCAAAAGTTAATTTCAGAGCTGAAAAAATACCTGTGTGAAGGTCAAAGAGGTGGCAGGATCACTATTTGTGCTCTACTGCACTCAGTTGTTTTGATGTGTTGAATGTTTTCTACACGAGTAACACAAAGATGTCCATGATAGCAGTAATACAGAACACAAAACTGTCAGGAGTTTTATAACAATGAAGGTACCTCAGAAATATTTTTCTCAAATCAGCTTTCTTGGATGAATAATAAGCTACCATTTTGCAGTGGCTAGGAGGGGGCAGGAAGCTCTGTTTCTTGTGTTATACAAAATTATTTATTAGGTAAACAGGGCAAGATTGGGGAAATTAGGTGTTTTCAGTGTTGACAAAGTTACTAGCAGCAGTGGATGCTTTAGAGCCAGTACCAGCCTCCTGCAGCTAAGGAGGGCTGCACAGAATCTCTCGTTGTGTTTGTTGGGTTTTTTCTGTTATTTTCCTGCCCACTCACTGTGTTTCGCATGGGGACCTTGATTCTACCAGGCCTTGTGTAGAGAACTATTAGGAGAGGCAAGAAGTATTGTCTGCAAACTGCTCAAAAACTAGTGTTTATCAGTTGTGACAGTGATTCCTGGAGTCATGCAAAAGAGCTGACTTTTTTCTGGCTGTTTAATTGTCTGCCGTAGGCAGGATTTTTTTATCGGTTAAGAGCTGCCAACTGAGGAGCCTTGATATGTGCTTTAGACTAATACACTGCAAACTGTGATACATTAAATTACTGACAAGCTATGGTCCGGGCTCTGTTTTGCAAGGCAGTGCATACTCCTCACTTGGAAGGGGAACTGTAGTTCTTCAGGAAGTGGGAAATGAATGTGTAGCACACCCACAGTCCATGTGGAATCAGTGCTTTTTGTAAAAGTCTGTCAGGTATTGCCTGTCACTGGACTGTGACTGCCTGTGGAAACTGAGCAGCTGGCAAAGAGAAGAAAACAAACTAAGTAGTGCTGGGCATTAGTAGTATGTCCTCTCCCTTCCCCTGCTGCTTTCCTTCCATGCATCCCTCCCCCTGCCCCACTGAACAGAAAAGATCATATAATGGGAACAATAAATTAAAGGGCAGTTTTCACCAGATTTTTTTTAATATTACTTAATTGTTAAAGATGCTGCTAAAAATTTCAAAGTAGTATTTGGTTTTCAACCTAGAGGATAAGGGTTTAATGTGAACTGTTACCACTGTGCAGATGTACAGTGTTAAGCAAGGTGATTTTGTCTGCCTGTGAGGTATGGCTGGGTACATACTACAGCCGTTATTGTGATACATGGGGAGACTCTCGTTTCTTCTTCATGTCTTCTGTCTCACCATGTCTGACTATTGTAGCCTCAGACCCTGTGGTGGGGCTGTCCCACAAATTGTTTTTGTTTCTTTACTGCAATGGGTCACAGTGTATTTATTCTGTTTCCTTTTCTGTCTCTCCTATCTGTTACCTCATCCTCTTCTCTAAGCCATGTAGTATATCTCTACTCTTGTTCTTTTCTCCTCACCTGCAGTATTCCTCTTCTCCTCTTTTTTCTTTTCCCGTCTCTTCTCCTCTTTTTTTCTTTTCCCCCCATCTCTTCTCCTCTTTTTTTTTTTTTTTTCCCCCGTCTCTTCTCCTCTTTTTGTATGGTAAAGTTTTTCTCAAGTCTGAGCTCTGTTTGGCTTTTGAAAGAATCATTTTATATACAGGCAAGAATTATTTTTTTAATGTTCAAATGTGTGTATTTCACCAAGTTTAAGTTATTTCTGAATATGCAGATCTGACTACAAGCTAGGAAATAAAGCCAACTGAATTTCAGTGTGAACAAGGTGATACAATTTTGAGCCAGTACAGTCTTTGCTCATCTGCTTCATTTTGTGCATGTTGCTGGTCAATTTTAATCAAAGTAGAACAGGATGTCTTCAACCAGTGCATCTTTATGTTCTTAAGTAACAATAACAGATGAGCTTGGTATGCTGAAAAATGTGTCAGACTGTTTTCCTGGACTAGTATTTTGTCTCAGTTTTATCTTTAAGCTTTATCTTAACCCCCCTTAAGCAGGGTTTTTCCAGCACTGAATCTAGATCTTTCCTGGGAAACACATGTGGTGTAAGTTGGGTATAGAAAGGGAGAGGCTCTTGCTTCTGACTTGCATCTCTCGCATCTCTCAACTGAAGTCTGATCACCATGTGCCTTACCAGTCTAGCCCTGCAGCTTGTTTCCAGCTTGATAAATGTGGGACACCAAGAGCAGAGTTCCAGGAAAATCTGTAGTCTTTATGCTGTGGTAAAAAGGTGGTACCAACAAAAGAGTACAAGGCAAGCTAGTGGTGGGGGGCAGGTGTCTCAAATCTGGTATAAGTGTGTCTGTAGATGCACTTACATCAAGGAACAGGTGCCTGCAGATTCAGGTAGGCATGAGCTACATGTATAGGACCATTGGCTGGAAGCTCAGGTTGACAGGATTCGACTTCATATGTGGTATAGCAAAGTGGAAATTGGTGTCATTCTACTAGGAGACACCTGGGTTTTGTTTAAATTGTTATCCTAGATAAACAATTGGAAATACATACACAGATCGGGTCAGCAGGTACTGCAAATTAATGGTTCAGCTTTGGCTCAAGGAGAGAGATGGTTTCTTTTTACTTCAGTTTCATACATTGCTTGGATCTAAGTTACATTACTAAATTGATTTTTTTTTAATAGACCTAGTACATTATCTTTATTTTAGAGCTGGGAAATGGTGCTTAGAGAAACTAACAGGGGTTATTGTTTTTGGAGCTAAATTCATTTCTCTGAAACTTGAAACAGTGCTCATGTTACTAAGAAAGTCAGGAATTTCTTGTATGGCAACTCTTAATTTAGTTACTGTGTTTTCAATATGTATTGATCCTACACATAGTCTGCTGAAAACTAAGGGAATTCCAGAAGAAAACCTGCTTCAGAAGAAATTGCAGCTCACAGTGCAGTTTTAACTGCAAGTAGTCAGATAATAGGGCACCACCCAGCAGTTTCCAGCGAATACTGAGCTTACTTGCACTTGGTACAAGTACACTTCCTTTGTTCTCTCAATGGATAGAGAAGTCTTGCACATATTAGTCTTCCTTCATAACCTCTGGCTTCAAAAACAGACCTCTTGTTTCTTACTTGGGCCCATTAACTGAGGCATTTGCTTATGTAGCTATGATGGTAGTTTGGGGTTTTCAAGTATACAGGGTAGCTTCAGATGTGGTGGGCTGAAGTAGGAAGGAGATTCCTTGTGAAAATAGATGGTAGCTGCCATTGGGGACCTCCCCTTGCTCAAGTTCCTATTCCATGTCTGTTAAAGCAAGGCTAAAATGTGTCCTACAACCAAGCGTGTAACTGAGAGAGGGGAGATGTTCTTTAAGTTGCAGTGTTGCAACAAGCTTTCCCCCACCTCAACCTTAGTTGCTTTCAGTTAATATCTACTTCTGAAAGAAATATTTTTTTTAATATCACAGTAATATTTTCAATCTCTACATCCAGCCAAGACCCACTTCAGGACGAGAGAAATCTTGACAGATACTAAGGAGTCTTTATTTTTATCTGGAAATGCACAGAGTTCTTCAACTGACTTAATTTAAAGCAGCTGGAATTAAATTGGTAATGGAGAACCAACCTTCTCATTTATCTTTGATCATACTCTGAAGCACTCTGAAGTACTGCTACAGCCTTCTACTTGTTCAGAGCTGTTAAAAATGCAGGAAATGGCGAAGGGGGGGGGGGGG